TAGAGATGTTTTAAAATCTTATGAGCTTTGACCTTCATATGCGCAGAAACATAATTCCGACCGTCGCCTAAATTATTCTACGTCCTAAAAACATTACACCTATTATTCACAGTCTCTCTCGAGCTCTAGCGTAAACAAGCCTTTGATCCGATTACAAATATCATAATAAAATGCCCTATTCTTTATTATTTTAATTTAAACAATAAAAATATATATAACGAACGTTCGCCAGTTGACTTTATTGATGCCCGAGCGCCTTAGTTCATTTCTAGTTGTAATGAGGCACGTGTTCTAATTCTGAGTCAATGTTTTCACAACGTGCTTATTAGAAGAATTATGGGGATACGCCACGCCTTTCGCGCATTTCGCGGCTCATGAGATATTAAAAGATCTCTACAACCATACCAGAGATATCATAAATAATATGATGTAAAAAACCGACCAATACGGCCCTGTAGAGCGACAATGGTGATACTTAGACCCTTGCTTTATAAGGCAATTCTTAATTACTTATCGAGTTCTATCTGTGGTTAAAATTTGATTCACTCGAACTGAAACACCTTGTATATGGCAAGCACCAAAGCAATTGTTTCTAAATGATAATAAACTTAGAAATAAATTGTAATTTTAAATAATTTACATTAGATTCAAAGCAACCAACACCATTAGTTTCATGCATTTACATACTACAAAATACATTATATAATAATTAACATAAGAACGCATAAAGTAATGGACATCTTTTTTTTTAGGTTGGACTCGAGTTGTAATTTAGACAAAAATTTTCTAAGACAGACAGTTATTGATACATATGCTATATGAACTTGCAAGAGACACAATTCAAGGCTGTTCTAAAAAATATTTAGTATTGCTGTAAAGAATACCATAAATCTGGAAGTGCTAACGAGAAGGCTAACATAGTTAATATTTTGGTGAGTATTAATTATTACTGATCTGATGAAATATGGTTATGTTTTATATTCTGCAATAATTTGCAATATTTTTCTGATGGAATAAACTCCAAAGTAATATGTAATTATTTACTAATGCAAGCACCTTTGTAGATACTGTTTCAAGTGCAATATTTAAGAGAAGCAGAATATGAAGAATTATTAGCATGAAACTGAAAAATTGAAGAAAGAACATGTTCACTGAATGATAAAACTTCTGTGTTTCTATATCATCTATGTTGTCGATTACCACAAAATGTGTTATATTTAAGATAAGGTAGCTGTTGTAGAGCATAGTATCGATTTTAGTTAAACAGAGCAGAAAAACATATCGATAAATAATTCTTTCCTGCCTGCCAGAAATAAAAGATTCTCTATCGACTCGATACTCGAAGATCCAGACCAAATGTCTGGTAAGTTTATATCGTCGTTACGTCTTCAAAATGTGACGTGCATATTTTCAGTAAAACGCGTTAAGTTCTGCACATTCGATAAACAACATCAAAACGCATAATCTGTTAAAAAACAGCCATCTTATTTTTTACAGAATTGTGACTGTCTGCGGTAAAATAAAAAATAATTGTAATTTCTTGAATAAAAAAGTCAAGAAACAGTTTCTTAATTCCACTGAACAATTTGATAAAGTTCACGTCATATTTTGAGGCAGTGACAAAATATTTTTCTTATTCAGTAATTTAAAATATTCTATAAAATTTGTGGTCATTAAAAAAAATTCCCTTTTGCAGTATCCTTTGCATTTGAAAAGAAATATAATGGATATTAAGCAAATGTAATTTGTTGAAGTTCTTGAGATGTGGACTTCTGTGACGAAATAGGATGATGCATAAAAAGAAATGTCCTTGTACGTATCTATGTTTAATTAGTAGTTAATACTTTTATAATCACTCTAATTGATAATCGATATCTATTGAAGATTTTGAAAACGTTTTAAACAAATTTTTATAACTTATTTAATCCATATTTGTCTTGTACATATTAATATTTTTAACTAAATCATATATATTAAGTAAATAAACTCGATAGTGTTATATCTGTCTTTAATATATTTCTTCCATTTTTAAAGTAATAAATAACTAAAAAAATAAAAAGTAAATATTGTTCAACTTTGTATAATAGGACCTTATTTCTGTATAACTACTGATAATTTGTTTTTAACTTTTTTTCAGGGAAGGCTTTGGAGAACATTAAGAGAAAATTAATGATGGTTAGGAATTAAAATGTTTCAAAATGGAAATATTTTCATATATACTTTGTTTTTACGTTAAAATTGTATATTTTAAAATGTTATATATTTATAAGAAAATAGATATACATACAAAATTAAAAGGGAGGCATATCTTAATTTACGCTTGGTTTTTGAGTATGATACAATAAAATGGTTGTATCATGGTTTTTGAGGTGTTGACAAACATCGACAATGACAGCTAGTAATCGTTACCAGAATATATTACAATGAATTTAATTAAAGCGTTTTTTAATGCTGGAACAATGTTGTTTTTTTGGAAAATTGAAAAAAACGAAATATGAGCGATTGCTTTATCAAAATAAAGCTAATATGTGTGATGTAACTACCTAAATGAACTTACCATATAATAGGCATTGCAGACTTGACCGCATACAGAATTGTGATTTACGAGCATATTTTCCCTTATTTCAATCAAACAACGTTGTATATCCCACGTCGGTTACAACATTGTTTTATGGAACTAGTGAAACAGGGTTCGTAGCGGCCGGGAATACCGGGAAAAGTCGGGGAATTTGTTATTCTTCATAAAAAACAGGGAATAGTCAGGGAATTTTAAAAATATTCATGAAAGTCAGGGAATTTGATGTTTGCAACTGGAAATTTTGTGAAAGCCGGCCCTGGGTTCTTGAAAGAGAAAACTATTTGTGGTTTCGAAACCTTTATCAGAGGTTGTTAGGATATAAAAGAGATTATGGAGTCCAGTCGAGATAAAATTTAATGCATAAACACCAATTATTATGTAAAAATGAACTACAAGTGACCTGGATTTTTTTTTATAAGTCAGGGAAAACCTGGAAAAGTCAGGGGATTCTTTATTACTTTTGAACTATGAACCCTGTGAAAATACAAAACGTATTTTGTAAAGTATGTAATATCAAATGTGATTTTCTTCTAATTTTGACAAAAAATTAAAGGTTAGCTTTAAATCTCTTCATAAATTTTAATTCAGTGATAAAATCTAAATTAGTTTTGAAATTCATTTTGAGAAAGATGTCGGTATAGAAATATGTAATAATTAAAAATGTTTTCACACGATTGAGATAATTTTATTACTGTCGGATGTTTGACAAGCCCTATAAGTAGAATTTACCATGTAATAATTTAATGTTTAAATTGTTTCACAATTTTTAAATACATTTTCATGAAAGCATCTTTCAATCGTGCAAAAAATAATAAATATAAGAAGTCTCCTAAGTGTATAATAAATTCTCGGAAATTGAAAAAATTCTTAATTTTACATTATTTTTTAAAAGATTTCCTCAAATTTGTTATAAGGCATTTACCAACCTGCTGTTTAATCTCTTAAACACTTATGATGTATATAACTGGTGTGAGCAAAGTCAATAAATAAATAGTGATTATGACAAATATATGTTGCTAAATAATTTGTGTCTCTGCTTACGATGGAAAAGTTTGCTTGTGTATATCTATTGCCTACGAAGATCTATAGCGACTAGTGTGGTATAAGTTGTTTTACTTGTTCATAACGGTATAGATCTTAGAATGGGCATATTATTGTATCTCATATGTTTCATGAGTTATTTATAACGATTTAGCAAATATATTAATAGGGTGAGAACCGCTGGATGTTACGTGGACGTATTCAGGTATTGCATGTCCCATTTTTCCGTTTACCAGTAACACGAGAATCCAATTTCCTTCTCTACATACTGATCACAAGAATTATATGTATTTGCAACAATTCTAATTATATTTGTTTTGTTTTTATTTTCTTATAATTTAAATGCAGTATACTGTTTGTGACGACCAGAATTTTATTAACTGAATATGGCATATAATACGCTTGCGCGAAAGGGGATCACGCCAGCAAGGAGTGCACTTCTCGTAATGAATCAAGGCGTTCAAGAGGTTAGTGTACTATGTAATTCAAGTAGTATTCTAACAAATTTTTTTGATTATGAACTCTCCTCGCATTCATGTAATTTGTGTACCTATTTTTTTTATAACTTTTCATTAAAAATCGTTACATTTAAATATATTTTCAATAATACCTATTAATTTTACCTATCTCTAAGCAGGTAGTATTTCTGAAGCCAATAACTGATGTAATTTAAAGTTAACAAAATTGTGAATTTGAGTTTATTAAATTCATTGTTAATATTAGTATTTTTTCAAATGTTTTGTTTATATAATTTATATAATCTTTTCATTATCCTTGATATTCAAAATCGAGATCGAAGATGTACTAGTTAGGTCAGAATATGAGACTGCGACGTGGTAAGTTGACTGATAGGAAACGTAAAAGAATCTGAAGATTAGAACTGTTCATGTTCATAAAAAAGTATTAGTGAAGGTAATTTTTATAAAATTAAGTGGTGAGCATTAAAATGTTCACTAAGTATTGGGAGAGTCCTATATGCAAAAAAATGCGTTCAAATCGCACAGTCCAGGCAAATGTTGTAGATCAAACTTGAACATTGTGCATATACAGGGTGTTTATTAATTGAATGCCGATACTTAAGGGTGTGAATCCTTGGGTCATTTTAAGAAGAAAACTTAATATCAACATATGTTCTAAACCTCTTAATTTTTGAGCTACAGGGTGTTACAGTTTTAAGAAAAAATTTACTTTTTTATTATAATTTTCTTATCACTCCAGATATTTTTATGAAATTTTGTACACACCTATTAATCATTAAGGAGCATTGTTTGATGTAAAAAATGTTTTAAAATCTTTGCCAATGACGTCCGTACGAGGTTTGAACTAAACATTTTTGAAGAAAAAAATGGTACGCCACTGCTTTTTCTAAAAACTAAAATTATTTTTAAAATCTCCATTTATTTTACAGCAAATTCGGTCCCTAGACTTACTCTCGTACGACGCACCATTTGCACGTAAAAAAATGAAAACCAAAAAAAGTTTTTTCCCCAAGTTCATTGAGACTGCTTTTGATATTTTGTTGCCATTTTGTAGACACCCACCATGCGTGGAAACACTTTTTGTGGGGCAAAAATTAATTTTCTACTTTCACAAATGACGTTCACGTAGGCATAATATTAAATGTTTGGATAGAAAAAACGGTAAGCTCATTAAATGCCCCCTTAAAGCAAATGAAATAAAAATTAGTAGGCTGGGTAAAGTGTCATAATGTATTTATTATGTATTTACAGTAGTTGTTGAAAGTGTCCTCCACCCACACGTATGCAAGCATCTACTCTTCTTCGCATAGACTGACGTACATTTTCAAAAATTCCTGGGGTGTCTCTTATGGTTTGGCAGCATACTATTATACGATTTCGTAACTCTTCTTCGGTTTGAATTGGCACTGCGTACACTAAACTTTTCAGATGACCCCAGAAAAAGTAGTCTAAACTATTAAGGTCGGGAGATCTGGACGACCATGATTGCGTTCCTCCGCGGCCTATCCACCGATCGTGATAGTTGTGGGTGTGTGTCTACAAAATGGCAACAAAATATCAAAAGCAGTCTCAATGAACTTGGGGAAAAAACTTTTTTTGGTTTTCATTTTTTTACGTGCAAATGTGCGTCGTACGAGAGTAAGTCTAGGGACCGAATTTGCTTCAAAAATGTTTAGTTCAAACCTCGTACGGACGTCATTGGCAAAGATTTTAAAACATTTTTTACATCAAATGATTAATGATTAATAGGTGTGTACAAAATTTGATAAAAATATCTGGAGTGATAAAAAAATTATAATAAAAAAGTAAATTTTTTCTTAAAACTGTGACACCCTGTAGCTCAAAAATTAAGAGATTTAGGACATATGTTGATATTAAGTTTTCTTCTTAAAATGACCCAAGGATTGACACCCTAAGTATCGGCATTCAATTAATAAATACCCTGTACATATAAAGTATAATTACTTTTCTGGTAGATTTAATGTGGGAACTGCATTTTTTGTTAATTTGTGGACTACATTTTTGTTGAAAATTAAAAAAATTTCTTCAGTGATTAGGTATACGTGAACATGTATGTGAAAATTTTGATGGTATCCAATCCTGTTTTTTAAAAGCTTTCACCTATCTGTACTTTATATCAACATCCTTTGGAAATCTGTAAAAATTAAAATATTAGATTCGGAAAATCGAATAAGCAAGTATAAAAATTTGGTAATTATTTATTTTACCATAAAACTGATATTTTTAATCAAATTTTGCCAACCCCCCTTTTCCAGGGTGCAAAGCAAGAATTTGAAATTAATTTTTTGTTACTTTTTCAATCGCAAAAAATATCACATTAATATTCAGCTCCCTCAAAATTACGGGAATTGGAAAAATTTTATATAAATTGGAGACTTTTACGTAAAGTAAATAATTATTACAAATATGTTACAATCATTTATTCAGTATTTTATTAACAATTTATAATAATATCACGTTTACCATTGACCATATGTACGAACAAAATTATAAAGTCAACCCTGGAATACTCTGACCTTAACCAAGAAATGGCGTATACAAGGTGTAACTGAAATAAGTATTCAAAATTTCTGAGCTTGTAAAACAAGTGGAAAAATTGCGAAATCTTTAGTACAATTTTTGTCAGTGGCGGCTCCTAAGGGAGCTACGCTCTCCTAAAGGGGTAACCTCGGAAACAGTTTTTAATGCGTAACATCCAAACGGCTCGACATTAAGTCACGAAATTTTGGTGAGATATTAACCTTGACGTGCTTAATAAGTCTCATAAAATACATTTCAAAATTTGCTACAGGGGCGTGAGAAAATGCAGGACTCAGGGACAAATTTAATCATATCTTTTTTGTAGTCTATTTTTTCTAGTTCCCGACTCGAAAATATTGAAATTTGAAGTATTTAACATAAAAAAGGTCCTCTTGTTAAATTTCACTAGGATGTGCCGTTTTCCAGTAAAATCGATTTCAGTCATTCCCAACGTGCTCCAAATTCAACTTTCATTACATAGCAAAATAAATTAATTGCAGTGTGCCATGGGGAAAACAACTAGTCTGACAGTTAACAGAAATGTCAAATATTTTTAACACTCTTAATAGTAACAAATAAAAATATGGTGATATAAATAAAAGCTAAAAAATAGATACATATGAGATTATTTATTAAACTATTGTAAGCGGCTGAAACTTTTACGTAACATTTTAACAGATTTAAACCATTTAGTTTAGTTTAACAAATTAACCAAATATCTTAATTTCTTTAGCAGAAAATGTGCCCTAGTCAAGAAGACAGACTAGATTCAACTTTCAAAATGTCCGCCGTTTGCCCTAATGCACGCACGTAACCTGTTTTCCAAAGAAAATAGGTTCCGGTATAGTTTGTGCTCCACATTGAGTTCATTAAATGCATTTTCTATACGCTGACGCAACTGTTCCTCATTGTCAACAGCTTGGAAATACACTTTTTGTTTCATTTGACCCCACACGTTAAAATCCATTGGGTTGAGGTCTGGTGACCGTGGAGGCCAATTTATGGCAGCATCATTTCCTCGGCCAATCCAGCGATTTGGGAAGTGCTCGTTTAACCACTGTCGACATTGACGGTTGAAGTGAGGAGGGGCGCCGTCATGCATGTACCATAAGGAACCTCGTCTTACCAAAGGAATATCCTCTAAAAATTCATACAATCTAGTAGACAAAAATTGATGGTACATTGCTCCGGTTAAATTTCCAGGCATGATGTGATATCCAAATAGATTATTTCCTAATGTGGCAGCCCAAACATTTATTTTAAATGAATGCTGATAATGGGTTACCTTCCGAGCATTAGGATTTTCTTCGGCCCACATATGTTCATTGCGCATATTAAAAACACCGCTTCTGGTAAAGGTAGCTTCATCGGTAAAAATAATATTCGATAGAAACATCGGATCTTCGGCTTGCCTGTCTAAAACCAACTGACAAAACTGTCTGCGCATGGGCCTGTCCTGTGGTAAAATGTCTTGGGCCTGTCTATAATGATAGGGATACAATTGTTGTTCTCTCATTATCCTCCATACTGTCATATGAGACATGTTATTTTGAACTGATAGTCGTCTTGTACTAAGTGTGGCGTTAGCTTCAACTAAATTTAAAATATTTTCCTCATTCAGGACATTTCTAATTATTCTACGCCTGCCTCTCTCAAAATTGTTCCTTTTTAACGTACCCCGTTCTTACAAACGCCTTTCTGTGCAAAGAAATGTTTTGTAATTGGGCACATTTCTGTTGGGAAACTTTTCACCGTATCGTTGTGCGGCTGCTCTTGCGCTTCCATGACATTCACTTAACGTCAAAAGCATATCTACATACTCAGAAAATGTATACTGTTGCATTTTTAAATTATTTGATATTTTAATGTACTATAAAACGGCACTGCGATAACTCAAATGAACCCAAAAATACTTGACATTTCTGTTAACTGTCAGACTAGTTGTTTTCCCCATGGCACACTGCAATTAGTTTATTTTGCTATGTAATGAAAGTTGAATTTGGAGCACATTGGGAATGATTGAAATCGATTTTACTGGAAAACGGCACATCCTAGTGAAATTTAACAAGAGGACCTTTTTCATGTTAAATACTTCAAATTTCAATATTTTCGAGTCAGGAACTAGAAAAAATTGACTACAAAAAAAATATGATTAAATTTGTTCCTGGGTCCTGCATTTTCTCACGCCCCTGTAGCAAATTTTGAAATGTATTTTATGAGACTTATTAAGCACGTCAAGGTTAATATCTCACCAAAATTTCGTGACTTAATGTCGAGCCGTTTGAATATTACGCATTAAAAACTGTTTCCGAGGTTATCCCTTTAGGAGAGCGTAGCTCCCTTAGGAGCCGCCACTGACAAAAATTGTACTGAAGTTTTCGTCATTTTTCGACTTGTTTTACAAGCACAGAAATTTTGAATAGTTATTTCAGTTACACCTTGTATAATAGCTCAAATTTACGTTTTGTATATTGCTCATTTTACTTATCTAGAGAAGGAAACTTTTCGGCTCTCTTCACCAACTTGTTCACTTCTATTTATACAATGTCCTACAATACATTTGCCCATGAAAAAATAACTAATTATTGAAATCAAAGCGTCACGTACAGCTCAAGTTTCCAGATACGAAGCAGATGCTGGGTGCTGGGTTGTCTCTGTGATGCTGCGCTTACGATACATAAAAGGTTATTACCGTCTTTTTTATGGACCGTGATTCGAGGCATGTCATTGCGAAAATTATGTTTGAGTGTGCGAGAGAGACAGACAGTACCTCAGTACATGCTGTCTCACTACTGATTGGTTAGTATCAGTGTTGCCAGACCTCCTGTTTTAACAGGAGATCTCCTGTTTTCACTCTCACTCTCCTGTTCTACTGTTTTCACAATGAGATCTCCTGTTTTTAGTCTCAATGTCTATTCTTCTGGTTTCTCTATGAAATAAACTGTTGATTATACTAATTTTCCTCAGAATAAGAATATTTTAGTACGACGCTGTTCTCTAACGGCACTGTGTTCACATACTTATTTAAATTTTAAATCCGCAATTCGCGTTTATATGAACTGGGCCTAACAAGGCGTTTCGTTTCGTTCGTTTACTTCAGCGGGATTCTGGGATTTTTTATTTTGACAACTGACAGTTGTCAAATCACGTGACGTACCGATGTAATTGCAAACTATTAAACGAACTCCTACAATTATATATTATATAATATTTTGCTATATTTTGTGCATGTGTTCCTCTATTAAAAAATATATTTATTAAAATCTCCTGTTGAAAAAAGAAATCTCCTGTTTTTTTGGCTACATTTCTACTGTTGACAGAAATTTCCATCTGGCAACACTGCTT